TGCCTGAGTATTGAGTACTGCAGCTGAAGGGACTGGGAGCTGTGCTTTGAACACAGGGTTGTATGAAATTTGATAAGTAACCTGAAAAATCAGGTCCTAAGTCTCCTCGATGCGGCATCCAAAATTAGTGGACTCTTTTCACTATCTCTCTGTGCCTCAGTTTCCCTTATGTAAAATAAGATACTACTAATCCTTTGTCTCAAATGGATGTTGTGTAAATAAATTAATCTTTCTGAAGCATTCAGAAACAACAGCAATTAGAAACTTTCGAAAGCCCACGAGGAACTAATCATCATTCTGTATTCAGGAGAGTTTGAATGTTATACAGTACATAACATATGAGGCCACACTGAAGGATGAAGATAAATTAAACTCTTAAATCCTTATCCAGTTAGCATCGTGCATCCTGGGCACTGAATGAGACTGGGCTCCTGTGGAGAATATAATAGGTTAAGACTTATGTGAGCCTCCTTGTGCATACAAGTTTGTCGTTCCTTAAATTTTTAATGCATAATTTAGCACTCTTAATGTCCTTTTAATGTTTTTGTTGGGGTTACGATACAATAGATAGTGTCTAAATCAGTGGTTTTAATCTGTGATCAGTAGATATTTAGGGGACTGTAGGCTAATGGGTGGCTGGTGCTAGGGGTGTTCCTGCACTCTCTGGCTTGAAATAGTAATAACAAACACATCAAATACATCGTTTCCATAATCCACACCCTAGTTACAAAAACTGTTCCAGCATCCCTGGGGATGTGAATGACTAGTTGCTTTCCCCCCTTCCTGCCTCTATTGGAAAGAGGCAGCAAGAGGGGCGGAGGGGGGAGAATATGGGGTGCTTCAAAGCAGCAGCACCACATGGAGCTCCTGGGGACAGACCCTGGGCTCCATACAGCGCTGCCGCTTTGAAACGCTGCATGGAGCCTGACTTCACTAGGACCTCATTTTTATTGAGGCAGCAAAACTCATTGATTTGTTCTTTAAAATGGCTAATCCAGTATGTATTAAGGATGTCCGGCGACATGAACATAAATTGATCAATATTGGAGTAGAATTAAATCATTGGAAGAGTGTTAAAAATTAGAGCAGTGAAAACTGATAGAACTGTACTGTTGGGAACTTGTATCTGCATGGCTACCAGCTACCTTTATATCACTTCAATATGATTTTAATTTGGGATGAAATTGATGGAGATTTCAGGTAAGGTCAAGTTGTTTCGCATTTCTGGTGATTGGAGCAGCTGAATAATGCTTTTACAGCTCTTTCTGTATCAAAACGTGTGTGTTAGTTCTGAGATAACGAGAGTTAAACTAGTACTTTTTGGAAAACTGTCAAATATATTGGGCTGTGTAGTCCAAAAAAGAAATGTCCATAGTTGAAAAATCATATAGAGAATTTACCGACAGCTTCTTCTGCTATGGTGTACTAGACAGTGAGATGTGCTGGTAGCGTTGCAGCTACTATGGTAACTGCAAAATAACATGAAGTGTCCTAGTAGTAGTTATGCTTGTTAAAATGTTGTTATGGCTCTAACAGTCTTGTGACTCTGGCTGAGTCAGAGTTTTATGTGTATTGTGTGATTTTTATTCTGATACAGGAATGAAAGGGTTTTCTTAAAAGTGTGTGTGTATCAACTGTGATTGTGCAACAAAGTGATCATTAGGTGGAAAAGGTTTGTTCCATTTTTCAAAGAATGTCAAACTGTTTCAGATGAATGTCTAAATTGTAAGATAACAGTAAGTTGTCTAACAGTGTATTTAGAAGTAAATACAGTAGAGTGTTACTTGTAGACTAAAAAGCAGGTACAGGCAGTCCCCGGGTTATGTACAAGATAGGGACTGTAGGTTTGTTCTTAAGTTGAATTTGTATGTAAGTCGGAACTGGTACATATTGTAGGGGAAACTCTAGCCAAACATTTCTCCAGAGCTCAGTTTTATTCTCCCACACCTCACTTCCCTCAGGCTTTATTCTCAAGCTGAGGTGTCTGCTGAGAAAAGCCGCTCCACCTCTCCCTGGTCTGGGGACTCTAGCTTCGCATCTCCCTGGTCTGCTGGAGGGAAGCAGCTAGTGTGGGGTTGCCTCACCCCGTTTGTAAGTAGGGATCCGATGTAAGTTGGATCCATGTAACCCGGGGACTGCCTGTATATGTGAGAAGGAAATCTTGTAGGTGTGAAGTGCTAAAACAGATCAGGGTTCACTTTTGTAAAACATGTAGGCTGTGTCTAGACTGGCATGATTTTGCGGCAATACTTTTAATGGAAAAGTTTTTCCGTTAAAAGTATTTCCGCAAAAATGCATCTATACTGGCATGTGTCTTTGCGCAAAAGATTTGCTTTTGCACAAAAGTATCCATGCCTGTGTAGACGCTCTCTTGCGCAAGAAAGCTCCGATGGCCATTTTAGCCATCAGGCTTTCTTGTGCAAGAAATTAATGTTCCTGTCTACACTGGCTCCTTTGGGCAAGTATTCTTGCGCAAGAGGGCTTATGCCTGAATGGGAGCATCAAAGTATTTGCGCAAGAAGCACTGATTTTGTGCATTACAAAGTCAGCGTTCTTGCACACATTCTCGTGGCCAGTGTAAACAGGCGGCAAGATTTTGCGCAAAAGCAAATGCTTTCGCACAAAATCTTGGCAGTCTAGATGCACCCACGTGGTTTAGCATGTTGCGTGACTTTTTTTTCTTGTACAGTTTATATTCTTTTTTAAAAAATCGAGATTGTTTTGTTAAAATAAAAAAGGAGTCTAACACAGAAGAATTTTAACAATACAGAAATAAGGTAAAACGAGAGTTTTTAAGGGCTGTTGCCTGTGCTACTCTTTTTTTTTTTTTTTTTTTTAAATCCGTGTGCAAATAAATGTTATGTGCACCATGGTATTTGATGTGCACCGCAAGTGGAAACACATGCTGCCGGCTGTGGGCACTCTTGGTGGCATTTGATTCTCTCCTGAGTGGCTACTCAAGCACTCTGCTCACAGGACGCACTGATTGTTGGTAAGGTAATCTGAACCTTCTTGATGAATCTCTACGAAAACAATCCTGAGTAATTCTCAAACGTGAATGTGTTAGCCAATGCCAGTGGGATACATTTGGTGGAGTTGATCATTATATCCTCCATCTATCTGTGTGCTATTTTACTAGAGGTATGACTTAAAATTAATTATTGTACAAAATGGAGACTGTGCTTACAGAAATATCTTAATTAGAAAGTAAAATGTACTTTACAGAGAAAGTTGAAATCTGAAACATTTTGATCTTCATTTCTCAGAAGTTAGAAATGAATTTCATTAAAATATTCCCTTGACAATCTCATATTATTTTCCTTTTCATCTTGCTAGTGGCATCTGTCATCTTGCAAACCCATCATTGTCATTTAGTTAGCAGAAAGGGGAAAATTCAAGTCTCATTTCTGTGATGGCAGTGAAATTTCAAAGGTTTGAGTGTTGCAAAAAATACTGTCATTGACTTTTTTGGTTCTTGGTTCTTAACAGGGCAAAATTCTGATGTTGGTGAAATTGCCTGAGTAAAATCTGTAGCATTATGCTGATAGTATTGGACTTAATATTCCTCAACTGTAAATATTATTTAAAAAATGTCTTTATCAGAAAGCTTCACAAATCTTGAATCTCCATATGCATGTCAAGTTTGGACCTCTATAGTCTGGATTTCTCTCATCGGACAACATCTGTGGTTCTGGTCCCTGGCCACCCAGCCTCTTTCCCCCGTGGAACTCCTATCTGGGCCTCACAGGGTGAATGCCAGCCCTTCTGCTGTTCCTGGAGTGTTGTCCCAGAGCCTGAAAAGAGAATTTCTTTCTTCTGCGTTTCGCAAACTGGGGATCCTGACCCCCGGGGGGGGTCGTGGTATCACAAAGTTTGAGAACCCCTGCCTTACTTAATTATGAATCCTTTAAAGCTCCAGTTGAGTAAAGTACTTAAGCAGGTGCCCATCTTTTAAGGCGTAAGTATTTCTTGTGGCTTCAGTTGGACTGCTCATGTGCTTAAAATTGGGCATGTGTGTAAGCAATTTGTTGACTCAGTTACTTTTTTTGGTTTTAATAAGTTTAACTTTCCACCATTTTTTCCTGTGTCTTTGCACTTTAGCTTGCCCATGGAAAATAAGCCCTTCTGGTATCATGGCCCAATGTTTGAATGGCAAGCTCTATAATAGGGATCCCGCTTAATCACTTAACCGGTTATGTTTAACTTGAATGTTATGTGTAATTGGTTACTGCTTAAATGAGGGCAGCTGGGCGCTACTCCAGCCAGGCTGGGCCTGCGGTGGCTGGGAGTTGTGCCGGCCAGGTTGGAGCACCCTTGCTGGTGGTGGGTCCTGCGGAGCTGGAGCAACTACCTGCCTGCATCAGGCTGTAGGCTGTTCCAGCCTCTGCCAGTTAACCGTGACTGGTAAGCATCACTGGTAAGGGTGGTGATTACTGTTTAGAGCAGGGTTCACAGCCCTGTTTTGTAGGCAAATGGTTTTAAACTCAAAGAAACATTTTCATTGAATTGAGAGAATTTCTGAAAGCATATATTTCTTCAATTACGGGTTTTAGTTAAACAAAACACCTCTGGTTTGGGCCTCAGTCATTAAACCTTTGAAATGTACTGTCTGAAACCTAGAAAAGGTGCTTGTTTTTCTTAAATTAATGCAGATGAGTTTCACTACAGTGACTTTTTAAAATTTTTTTGTTAAAATGAACACTTTCCTACATTTGAGGAAGCAGGCCTTTGAAAAATGTGCATGTGAAGATTGAATCAAGATGCATACATACAAGGGAACCAAATTAAGATTACGTAGGCATTAGCTGTCTGGGAAGAGTAATTACAAGAGAAGTTTTTCTCTGCCCCTAGAGCTGTGGGCATGGTTCATGCATGTCCAGTTGGCATGGAGGTGTGTAGGGATAGAGCATAGCCAATTCAGATGAAGTCTTTGGGGAAATTAGCTGCCAAAATCATGTTTGTGAGCATTTGCACAATTAAATTTTCAGGGGTTTATAAACAGTCCAATTTTGAGCAAATTCTGATGGGGATGATGAAAGACACATTCCAGACATTAATGTGAGTCCTGTGCCAGATCTGGTCCCTCTTCCAAAGCAGGAAAATGCTAGAAATTGATAAAATGGTTGAAATATTGACCATGAGCAAATTTTCCCCTAAATTCATTCTCAGAAATGACAACTTTTTGCTGCAACATTTCAAAAATTTCAGCTGTAGGCAGTAGGGATGTAAACTAGTAGTTGAGTATATGACTGATAAGCCTAGGCTTACTGGTTAATCGTCTCAACTACTTGCATTTCCCCCCCACTTGTTGCCTTAGTACCAGAGCCAGAGGGTACCATGAGCAAATTTTCCCCTAAATTCATTCTCAGAAATGACAACTTTTTGCTGCAACATTTCAAAAATTTCAGCTGTAGGCAGTAGGGATGTAAACTAGTAGTTGAGTATATGACTGATAAGCCTAGGCTTACTGGTTAATCGTCTCAACTACTTGCATTTCCCCCCCACTTGTTGCCTTAGTACCAGAGCCAGAGGGT